TGTTAAACGAACACGACTCTCCACAATGGTATGATATTGTCCACTTTGAGCATAAGCTCTCATGGCTTTGCTTTGGGCTTCCCCAAAAGGCCTCATACCAATGGAGTTAGTATTCCTCACTTATAGACCCATGATCACACCCTAAATTAGTCGATGTGGGACTTCCATCATCCAACAAACCTGTTGGCCAAAGGGGAAGATCTCAGTGAAAGTATATGCAAACGAAAAATTGGAAGAAGTAAATGGAATGACCCATGTATAGATAACGAAAAATTGGAAGAAGTCAATGGAATGACCCATGTAGAGATATTCATCTGGCAAACGAAAAATTGGAAGAAGTCAATGGAATGACCCATGTAGAGATCGAACTAAATGGAATGACCCCAGGTAGAGATATTCATCAGTGTTAACCTGTTGACCAAAGGGGAAGAACAGGTACCAAAGGGGAAGAACTAAATGGAATGACCCCCGAACTAAATGGAATGACCCCCAGGTAGAGTGACCCCCAGGGTACAGTTTGACCTGTTGACCAAAGGGGAAGAACTAAATGGAATGACCCAGGTATGGAATGACCCCCAAGTAGAGATATTCATCTGGCAGTGATTTCAGTGTTAACCTGTTGACCAAAGGGGAAGAACTAAATGGAATGACCCCCCCAGGTAGAGATATTCATCAGTGTTAACCTGTTGACCAACGGGGAAGAACTAAATGGAATGACCCCCCAGGTAGAGATATTCATCAGTGTTAACCTGTTGACCAAAGGGGAAGAACTAAATGGAATGACCCAGGTATGGAATGAGTGTTGACCTCCAGGTAGAGATATTCATCAGTGTTAATTTGTTGACCAAAGGGGAAGAACTAAATGGAATGACCCAGGTACCAAAGGGGAAGAACTAAATGGAATGACCCACGTAGAGTTTGACCTGTTGACCAAAGGGGAAGAACTAAATGGAATGACCCAGGTATGGAATGAGTGTTGACCTGTTGACCAAAGGGGAAGAACTAAATGGAATGACCCAGATATGGAATGAGTGTTGACCTGTTGACCAAAGGGGAAGAACTAAATGGAATGACCTAGGTATGGAATGACCCCAGGTAGAGATATTCATCTGGCAGTGATTTCAGTGTTAACCTGTTGACCAAAGGGGAAGAAGTAAATGGAATGACCCAGGTAGAGTTTACGAAAGAAGTAAATGGAATGACCTAGGTAGAGTTTGGGAAAGAAGTAAATGGAATGACCCAGGTAGAGTAGTTGATATCTCTCAGTGTTGACCAAAGGGGAAGAAGTAAATGGAATGACCCAAACAAAGGTAGAGTAGTTCTCTCAGTGTTGACCAAACTGGAAGAAGTAAATGGAACGACCCAAATAAAGGTCGATTAAAATCAAAGAACCGTAGCGTCACATGTTGGAGTTGTGGAGAAAATGTTCACTTTCGGGCAAATTGTACAAGACCAAAGAGGAAACAGAATCACGAAGCGGAGGATAGTAATGACTTTACAAATTTAGCCAATGGCATTGAGGATGCTTTAATCCGGATAGTCCAATTGAATCCTAGGTTTTGGATTGAGATGCATCTTTTGATTTGTTTTCAAACAAGGAATAGTCCAATTGAACCCTTGATTTTGGATTTAGGTGCATATTTTCATTTGTCTCAAAATAAGGAACCGTTTCAAAATTTTAAGTCTAGAAATTTGGAGAAAGCGTATCTTGCCGACAACTAAACTTTGGAGATTGAAGGAAATGAGAACGTCTGCCTAAAAACTTTTACGGGAAATAAGTGGATATTAAAGGATGTAAGGTATATTCCTGGTCTCAAGAAGAACCTGATTTCTATTGGTCAGTTGGATAGCACAAGTTATGCAATAGAGTTTGGAAAGAGTTCGGAGAAGATTGTGAAGGGTGCTATGGTGGTAAAACGTGGCAAAAAATTTGGAACCTTATACACAACTACATAATGTATAAACATGACCGTTGTTGTTGAGAGCGTTTGAAGTTCAAGTCTATGGTACAATAAATTTGAACATATGAGCGTAAAATGAATGAAGATGTTGGCTGAGAAGGGAGATTTTAAAGGTTTGAAATTTGTTGATATGAGTCCTTGTGAGGCTACATTATGACAAATAGAAACGAGTCAACTTCACAAATGCTACCATAGAACCAAAGAAAGTGCAGGTCGAAATGATTCATACACACGTTTGGGGACCATCTCCAGTTTCATCACTTGGTTGATCAAAATTCTACGTCACCTTCATCGATGATTTCAACAGGAAGGTGTGTATTTATTTCCAGAAACAAAAGTCAGATGTGTTTGCCACCTTTAAGAAGTGGAAAGCTGAAGTTGAAAATCAGACTGGCTTGAAGTCTGACAATGAAGAAGAATACGAAAAGTCAAAATCCAAAGCATTTTTTGTAGTTGAGGGAATTAGATTAATGAGGATAGTTCCCAGGTAAAGCAAGACAATATGGTGTTGGTGAATGGATGAACAGAACATTAAATGAGTGGGCAAGGAGTATGAGGATTCGATCTAGATTGTCAAAGACATTCTAAAATGATGTTGTAAATACAATAGCCTACTTGATAAATAGAGGGTCGTCAGTACCCTTGCAGTTCAAGTTGCTAAAGAGGTATGGATAGGAAAAGAACTCAAGTACTCTCACTTGAGAACTTTTGGTTGCACTGCATATGTTCGTATTGATCCACAGAATGTTACAAGCTTGATGTTATGGCTATAAAGTGCTACTTCATAGGCTATGGTTCTAATATGTTTGGGTACAAGTTTTGGGACATCAAGAACAAAAAAATCTTGAGACACTATAACGTGACTTTAGACGAAATTGTCATGTAGAAGGATAAAGACAAGAAAGATTCTAGGACAACAAAGCAAGTGGGAGTTGAAGTTGAGCTACAGAACCATTCACACAGTGATGTTGTAGTAGATACTCGAAAAACTTCTAAGACTGTTGCTGAGGTTCTAGAGGTGGAGCAAGTGACACCGAAGCAGGCGTTGAGAGGATAAACCATAACTATTAAAGTATTACATAGGTATGTACCTTCATTACACACTATATGTTGTTGGCTGATGAAGAGGAACCAGAGCCCTTTAGTGATGCCCTACAGTCAGAGGATACAACCAAGTGGGAGCACGCCATGGATGATGAGATGAGTTGGATGTCTAGGCTTCAGAATTGTGCTGCTCCTTCATCTATCGTGGCAATAGCTAAAACTGGAAAGGAAATGATATTGATGACAGACTATATAAAGAACTAGGCAAGATGCAGCGCGAGAAGATTCTTCATGTAGATAGTCAGAGTGTCATACAGTTGGTGAAAAACTCAGTCTATC